CAAAAGCTGATGAAGCTTTAAAGGCCAAAGAAAGAAATGAAGAAGAAGCAAAGAGGAGAAAGGAGGAAGGTAAATGCTTATGTCCTTTTCTTTTTCTGTGGCTCCACTCTTTGCAGTGTTCTTTCTATTGCTTGGATATACTGTGGGTTACAGCCAGGCATGTTGGAGGATAGCTCATGTCACCTCGTGGACCTAAACCATGATACAGTGTCACACTCTGTTCGTTGTTTTTGTTGCTACTGTTTGATTGCTAGCATAAGATTAGTTTATATGCATCCTATTCTAGATTCTGGGAATTTAGGAGATCATAACAGAACTGATCTTGCAGTTTTACTTTTTGACTTTAAGTAATTATTAAAATCAGTCACAGAATTCAGTTGAACTAGGGGATGTGAAGTCACGGCGTACAGCACCAGCATCCCCTGTGGTTTTAGTTCTGCTTGCTCCACTTCCAGTCTAGCTCCCTGCGAATGCTCCTGAGGAACTGCAAAGGAACAATTCAAGTGCAAGGGTTCCTGCCTCCAGGTGAGAAACTCAGATGAAACTCCTAACTTGAACTTTCTCAGCCCTAGCCATTGCAGTCATTTGGGGAATAAACCAATAGATGAAAGATCTCTCTCTACCCCTTTCTAACTCTGTCCTAATCTTTTTGTAAAGAAACTTAAAAGTGATAGAACTTAACAGTATGCTAGCTGCTATAAAGAAAAGTGTTCTTGCCAGTAAAACTTATTTTAAAAGCTGGTCAGAACAATAAAATTTGAAATGTTAGAAATGGTCATAATTAAATGAAGAAATCTCAGTATTAATTTTAATGTCTTGAATATTCATTTCTTTTAATAATGCTTTAGGCCATTCCCCAAAATATGCAAACAAATGTTAACATATGCTTACTGGCCCCAAGACATATTTGGAAATTAAGAATTTTTGCTTCATTTTTTCCTCCAAACATCTGTATCTTTATTACAACAAGGTGAAACATTGTACTCCCATCCTTCAATAGGAAGGTGAGAGCCGATAAAATTTGTATTAGAGTATTCATCTATTAAACAGGATCCCATTCAGATCCTAGCTCATAGTCTTTCCTGTCCACCTATTGCTAAAAGGAGTTGAAGTCATGCTGAATGGACCCAGTGGACGCCAAAATTCTATGAGAATGCTATGGATTGATCTTTACCTGAGTTTCCTAAATCTTCTGTGGATTTAAAAAGTATAAGATTTGTCATAAATGTAGAAGAAAAACTCTATTGGTAAAATAACCTATGAAAGATTAATTGTAAAAGATGAAAAAGCTTTTTGCTTACTGAATTTTTTTGTCTACTTTTTATAAGTTGAAGTGAATCAAATAATTAGTCCGGCTACAAACTGAAACTTGAGATACCTCATAGTGTTTATATAGGAGGTACCTGTGTCTCAGAAAGAATATTCATTCTTCATTTCTGTAATATATACGCCATGAGTAATTCAGACTGTCATATCACTTATGCCATTCATCTCTTTATTTTTAAAAATGCTGATGTACAGCACAGTTAAAGCATTGTTAAATTGCAAATAAATGTTGTCTACCAAGTGCTTTTTATCTATTCTCTGTTATCTCACAAGTGGTTGTATTAGCATAGCCAAATCTGTGCTTTCCAAGTTTGTTCTGTTACGCAGTCCTTTCCTTTGAATCTTCTTAGATCAATAACATATCATAATTATCCTTTTAAATATTGTATCAAAGATAAAAGTCAGAGTGCCCATTAATACTTGTCCAGGGTAACCCACTTTACCTTCCACCCTTTAAACAGGAGGGCTCCATTTGTAATGCTTTTCGTAGTCTTTATATAGTTGAGTTGCTTTCTTGCGTATTGGATGTCGCTAGTATTGATAGGACTCTTACTTGGACCATTTACTGCTTCTTTTTTCTGCAGTAAAGCTATCTAAAGATTACATTTTTTGGTAAATGTCAGATGAATATTTAAGGCTATGGTCTACCTGTCTAAAAGTAGCACCTTTTGAAAAATGTAATTATTCTTCCCTTGATTTCTATTGGTAAAGGCCTTAGCATAACTGCATAGGATTTCTGCGTGTTATTTTTATGTTTATTTTGGTGACAATTATGTTTAAATCTCTGAATATGCAAACTAATATTTCTTTGTGTTTGACTTCTCTCTAATACAATTTCTTATTTGTGGTAAAAGTATAGTAGCATTTCAATTTTTTTTTCCCCTCTGAGTTCATTCAGATTATCTCTACTCATCTGCTAGGGTTTTTTTCCTTCTAGTATTTTTGTCTCCAAAAATGTTAGGCAGCGCACTCTAAATTATTCATGAAAATAGTCAACAGTGAAATTGTGAACATGATATTAGGCAGTTTTAAGTGGACACTTAAGCAATTCTCAAGTCTAATTTGTTTAAGTTGAAATTCATCAAATCTTATTACCATGGCTAAGTGACAAGCAGCAAAATAAATTAACCTTAGTTTCAGCTTATATATATATATATATATATAATTGTTTTATACATACACACACACACACACATATGAAATTCTTTGATGAAGGTGAAGCAAAGAATACTAGAAAGTAAAAAGGAAGAAATGGGGTACAAAACATGGTTACAATTATTTTATACATTCCAACTCTTAGTCTTCATGAACTCTTTGAGTTTTGTGCTTTTGATTCCTTATAATATAGGGAGATTAGAAAATTAGAACACAGTTTTTAATTTCACTCTGTAGCCAGTAAATGGGGAAACAAGGATACAAGCCCAGGCAGACTGACTCCAGCATACACTCCCCGTCTTTAAAGAGACTGCATCCCAGCCGACGTTGTGGCACAGTGAGAGGAGCAGCCTCTTGCAACTCCTCATCCCGTGTCAGTGCTGATTGGATCGCTGACTGTTCGGCTTCTGGCCTTCCTTCCTGCTAATGCGCATCAAGTACATGGGCTGCACTCCTGGATCCGGGCTGGCCCAGCCCCAGCCGTTGTGGCCAATGGGAAGTGAACCAGCAGATGAAAGTTTTTCCCTGCCCTTTCTTTCTCTTTCTCTTTCTCTTTCTCTCCCCCCCCCCGTACTGTCTCTGTCTCTTTCTTCTCTCTCCTCTTTCTCCCTTGTCCCCTTTCCCTCTCCAGTTCCTTAAAAGACTCAGTCTACATCAGTCATAACACTTAACTGTTCAGAAAGAATATGGCTTAATTTTATCTTTCTTTTCCCTTTCCTTTCCTCTCTGATTTCCACCCTCCACCTCCTAAGCATTTGTTTATTAGTAGATCAAATAGATTTGGACTCATTATAAGGTTCTTCCTTGTTGTACATATTATTTCCTAGTTCAATCTAAACATTAAAAATCCCTTTTGACATAGTTTATCAAGTGAATCTATTACAAGATTTAAAAGAATGCTTTAGAAAATGTTTCCTTTAAGTTTAATCTCTATATCTTTCATAATGTAATATATTTAAATTCATATAACTTAATGTGTTAACCCTAATGTTAGAGTGCTATTTTCTTTAAGAAAAAATATATCTACTTGGTTTTTTTCTCAAATTCATAATTAGTCAAAAAATATTTTAAAATTATCTGTCTTTGTCCGAGCTATCTCGTAGTTCCCTCATCGAGAATTCCTCCCGTACAGCCTCCCTGAGTTCGTGTCCGCAGAACATGGTTGCTGTGGACTGGCAGTAAGACAGAGCACTTGCAACACTGGCATCTAAGATCAAGTGCCAGTTCAAGTCCCAGCTGCACCACTTCCAAGGACCTTCCTGCTAATGTGCTTGGGAATGCAGCAGATGACGGTGCAAGTGCTTCGACCCTGCCATACGTGTGGGAGACCACAATGGATTTTCTGCAACCTGAGCTATACCTGGCCATTGCTGCCGTTTGGGGAATGAACCAGCAGATGGGAGATATTATATATACTCTCTCTCTTCCTCCCTCCTTCTCACTGTCTGTTGCTCTGCCTTTCTCTCTCAAATAAAACTTATACAAAACATTTATTTATTTTACTTTACAAGTGAGAGTAACAGCCAGGTCTGGGTCACTCCAGTGCTGGGAACCAGGAACTTATTCCAGTTCTACCACATGGGCTGCAAGGTTCCAAGATCTTGAGCCATGCTCTGCTGATTTCCCAGGAAATCCACAATCAGGAAGCCAGATAGGAAGTGAAGCGTACAGGACTCGAATTGGTGCCCTTTGGGGATGCTGGCCCCAGCAGGCAAGAACCAGAAAATCCGCCTGTCATGCCACCATACTGGACCCAAATAAACCTTATTAAACACATTCATTTTTTTATCTATCATAACACTTGTATTTATTTTTATGTTTACTATAAACTATTCCTCATTTTTAATGCTTCTGTTAAGCTAATTTATTTTTAGCTTTTTAACAATGCAGGGAATTCTTTCATTTTTGCTGATCATTCAGTTGTAGTAACATTTTTGCTTTATATATATTTACCTGTACTTTTACAGATTTGAAAGCCAGTATAGATCCTATTTTAACTTACTTTTAGTAAGATGTTCCTACACATGAAAGACAAGATAACCTGATAGTATTTAGCCATTGTTAGGTCTCCAGTGGCCAACAATCATGTTGTGTGTGTGTGTGTGTGTGTGTGTGTGTGTGTGTGTGTGTTTTAATGGTTCAAATATTTTCTATAGTGTTAGAACAGATTTTCAAGACCCAAGACCAACTCAAAGCTAGACATAACCTAAGGAAGCTAGTGTAATATAAAAAGTTAATGGTGGTCTATGAGAAACAGCCCCTGCCAAAAAAAAGGAGGTTCACAGGACTGCTTTTGTTTTTTTGTTTTTTGCTTTTTTTCTCATTCTCTAACTGACTAAGTGACTTAACTGCATTACAGTTATAATGTGGGAAACATGATAAAAATTTGCCTGGAATCATTACATTTTAGCTTCTAGTATTTAAAAAGCATTTCATAGCTACATGCTGATATATTAACTATTGCTGTCACTCCAGGTTGTAGCACAAAGAAATATAAGCACTGTCCTTTTTATTATTCATTCCTTAATCAACTTAAAACAATACTCCCAGAACATTTGCCACATGCTGGATAGACACACAAATAGGTG